GAGCAATACGGCCGAAAGCGTTGGCGAATGAAACACCAAGGGACATCATTTGCAGGCTCCACCATTTTCCCATCAAAGAGACGATTCTTTAAAAGCCAAGCAAATCAGAGACATTGCATTTACCGACCACAAAGTGCAGATATTCCAGGATCTGGCGCAATCCACGCTGATAGCGAGAAGAGCACTGCGCCCGATCACAAAAGCACTCTCGGACCGCAACATACGTTTCCGCTGGGCATACCGCTTTGCTTTGGTGGTGAATCGCCAAGGGAAGACACACTCAATATCAACTCCGGCGGATGTCTTGACGTTCCAACAAGCCCTAGGCATACCCACCGACGCGGTGGAAGATTGGACTGGTCTCTACATGGAACAGGACAGGCAAATGCCCCAGAGGGCCAAATGGCAACGCAGCCCCAGGAAACGAGGAAGACGGACCCCATCGGGAAACGAACTGCCCTCGACACCAAAAGGCACTGCCACGAAACCGACCTAAAAGACTTGCTATATCCTTTCACTCTGCTAACAATGCCTAAGCCATAGAGGCGCTTGCCTCAACTAACGCCTAGTTAATGCCATGTTTATATATATATATACATGTTTCTATATATCTACTGTTTAATGTGTAACCCAATGCCAAAGATCCACGTGGCTGGGGTCCGGACAGCCAGAGGGTGTCCGGGACCCTAGACACGCTGGATCTGGGATTCGATCAACAGATATGTCATAATAAGGTATAAGCGATGTTAACATAAGCTAATGCAAGATCGCTAACGATACACGAATTATGTATATCACACGCACAGCTGGCCCAGAGTCTCAACGGGTCTAGACCACACAACCCCCCAAGAGGTGCCGCAAAGAGCACGCGGGATCCATATGATCCACAGCGGGCTTGACACCAACTGGACGCAGCAGGCACGCTGCATATACACTGTATATAGTTTCCACAGTTTGTTTTTCCCCCAAACCCCTCCCCCCCATTAGGTATAGGTCCTCATCACACCATCTAAGCCCGAGAAGCTCCCACCCTTGGCTGTTCTATGATGGATAATCTTAAACTCATGTCCCTGAATGTAAGGGGACTAAACACGCCCGAAAAACGCACAATCCTAGCGCATGAACTAGACAGACAGCAGATGGATATAGTATTCCTCCAGGAAACTCATTTTAGAGGAGATCAGACCCCCTTATTGAAAACTAAATCAATGGGACAATCGTACTTTAGCAATTACCATGGAGGCAAATCCAGAGGGGTCGCTATTTTACTATCATCCAGAAGAACATTCACGCTCCAAGACAGCAAACTAGACCCACAGGGAAGGTATATTTTCCTCAAAGGAAAGATCAACAATACCCTCATTACCCTAGTGAATGTTTATGCGCCCAACAATAGACAGGTCCCATTCATCAAATCATGCCTCAGAAAACTAGAGAACTTTGCAGAGGGGTTAGTAGTGTTAGGGGGCGATTGGTACATAGTCTTAGATCACGCAATGGACAGCACTGCGACAGGTAAAGACACATTAGCACACCAACGCCCGCTACTCCAAAAAACGCTGCATGCTAACCAACTAGTTGACTGCTGGAGGATTACCCACCCCCAGGAAAGGGATTAAACATACTTCTCCCAGGTAGCCCATAGTTACTCTAGATTGGATATGTTCTTGATAGGACACAAGCACCTGGTCGGACCATGCCCCAATATTCTTTACACTGTCTCTAGACGAGAAGAGTGCCGTGGGCAACTCGTGGCACTTAAACGAATCACTACTAGATGATCCCAGGGTAACTGAAGACCTGACCAACGAACTGCCCATGTACTTTCACAAAAATGGGGGTAAAGGCACAGCAGAACCATGGGTATGGGAAGTACACAAAGGTATAACACGAGGGACCCTGATTAAGTGGGGAGCTCGCATAAAACGGGAACGAGCGACACGAATCCAATCCCTAACTGAAGCCATACACATAGCAGAATCTGCCCACAAGGCTACCCCCACACCCGACGCATACAAAACATTAACAGCATTACGAATGGAACTGCGAAACCTCCTCACAGCGAAAGCCCATAGGGCAGCCCAGCTGACTAAGGGGACATACTATGCACACGGCAATAAAAGTGGGAAATATCTAGCTAGAGCCCTAAAGGACAAACACCAAAAGACATACATTTTTCACATAACCACGAAAGGCGTAATACGCCAAGACGCGACAGAGGACATAGCCAAAACCTTTTTCAAACAATTTGGAACAACCACTGAACACACAACATAACATGGCAGCATACATCTCAGCCCACATTCATAAAAAACTAGACCCACAACAAACAGCCCAATTAGAATTACCTATCCAACCTGAGGAACTCCGAATAGCAATACAGACCCTCCCTAAAGGCAAAGGCCCAGGTCCAGACGGTCTTACGGCCAGATATTATCAGACTTTCCAACACATATTGATTCCAAAGTACCTAGATGTCCTCCTCCCTGGCCCCCACCCCTGAGCGGCGGGTGGGGGCCCTAAATACTAAAAAGGGGGGGGGACCTAATGTCCTCCCCCCGGCCCCCACCCCTGAGCGGC